GGACGCCACCACCCACCACCACCACCACCAGCAGGGATGGACGCCACCACCACCACCACCAGCAGGGAAGGGCACCACCACCACCACCAGCAGGGATGGACGCCACCACCACCACCACCAGCAGGGATGGACGCCACCACCACCACCAGCAGGGATGGACGCCACCACCACCACCACCAGCAGGGATGGACGCCACCACCACCACCACCAGCAGGGATGGACGCCACCACCACCACCACCACCACCAGCAGGGATGGACGCCACCACCACCACCACCAGCAGGGATGGACGCCACCACCACCACCACCAGCAGGGATGGACGCCACCACCACCACCACCACCACCAGCAGGGATGGACGCCACCACCACCACCACCAGCAGGGATGGACGCCACCACCACCACCACCAGCAGGGATGGACGCCACCACCACCACACCAGCAGGGAAGGACGCCACCACCACCACCACCAGCACCACCACCACCACCACCAGCAGGGAAGGACGCCACCACCACCACCAGCAGGGAAGGACGTCACCACCACCTCCAGCAGGGATGGACGCCACCACCACCACCACCAGCAGGGATGGACGCCACCACCACCCCAGCAGGGATGGACGCCACCACCACCACCACCAGCAGGGATGGACGCCACCACCACCCCAGCAGGGATGGACGCCACCACCACCACCACCAGCAGGGATGGACGCCACCACCACCACCAGCAGGGAAGGACGCCACCACCACCACCACCAGCAGGGAAGGACGCCACCACCACCACCAGCAGGGATGGACGCCACCACCACCACCACCAGCAGGGATGGACGCCACCACCACCACCACCAGCAGGGATGGACGCCACCACCACCACCACCACCAGCAGGGAAGGACGACACCACCACCACCAGCAGGGAAGGACGCCACCACCACCCCAGCAGGGATGGACGCCACCACCACCACCACCAGCAGGGATGGACGCCACCACCACCACCAGCAGGGAAGGACGCCACCACCACCACCACCACCAGCAGGGATGGACGCCACCACCACCACCACCAGCAGGGAAGGGCACCACCACCGCCACCACCAGCAGGGAAGGACGCCACCACCACCACCACCACCAGCAGGGAAGGACGCCACCACCACCACCACCAGCAGGGAAGGGCACCACCACCACCACCTCCAGCAGGGAAGGACGCCACCACCACCACCACCAGCAGGGAAGGACGCCACCACCAGCAGGGAAGGACGCCACCACCAGCAGGGAAGGACGCCACCACCACCACCACCACCAGCAGGGAAGGACGCCACCACCACCAGCAGGGAAGGACGCCACCACCACCACCACCAGCAGGGATGGACGCCACCACCACCACCAGCAGGGAAGGACGCCACCACCACCACCACCACCAGCAGGGATGGACGCCACCACCACCACCACCGCCACCACCAGCAGGGAAGGACGCCACCACCACCAGCAGGGAAGGACGCCACCACCACCACCACCAGCAGGGATGGACGCCACCACCACCACCAGCAGGGAAGGACGCCACCACCACCACCAGCAGGGAAGGACGCCACCACCACCACCAGCAGGGAAGGACGCCACCACCACCACCACCAGCAGGGAAGGACGCCACCACCACCAGCCACCACCACCACCACCAGCAGGGAAGGACACCACCACCACCACCAGCAGGGAAGGACGCCACCACCACCACCAGCAGGGATGGACGCCACCACCACCACCACCACCAGCAGGGAAGGGACGCCACCACCGCCACCACCAGCAGGGAAGGGCGCCACCACCAGCAGGGAAGGGCGCCACCACCAGCAGGGAAGGACGCCACCACCACCACCACCAGCAGGGAAGGACGCCACCACCACCACCACCACCAGCAGGGAAGGACGCCACCACCACCACCACCAGCAGGGAAGGACGCCACCACCAGCAGGGAAGGACGTCACCACCACCACCACCAGCAGGGAAGGACGCCACCACCACCACCCGCAGGGAAGGACGCCACCACCACCACCACCAGCAGGGAAGGATGCCACCACCACCACCAGGGAAGGACGCCACCACCACCACCACCAGCAGGGAAGGACGCCACCACCACCACCAGCAGCAGGGAAGGACGCCACCACCACCACCACCACCACCACCAGGAAGGATGGACGCCACCACCACTACCATCAGGGAAGGACGCCACCACCGCCACCACCAGCAGGGAAGGACGCCACCACCACCACCAGCAGGGATGGACGCCACCACCACCACCACCAGCAGGGAAGGACGCCACCACCACCACCACCACCAGCAGGGATGGACGCCACCACCACCACACGCAGGGAAGGACGCCACCACCACCACCACCAGCAGGGAAGGACGCCACCACCACCAGTATATGGTGTCACTCCCTGGGATGTCTCCAGTGTCATACGTCCTTCTAGGATTTCCTGTGATCATTAGTATTCACTTATGGAGCTCCAGGTGTCCTTGGGCGCAGACCTCTAACCCTCATCACTACTTCTTCCCATTACTGCTTCTACCACCGTCACTTCATCCACGCCTACCAACACTACTTTCTGCACGGCTATCACCACTCCTACCGTCGCTTCCACCACCATTATTACTTCACGTCTACCATCACTCCTTCTACCGTTTCTACCACCACGCCTACCACTACGCCTCCAACCACCCCTTCCACCGCTTTTCTTCCACTGCTAACACCACCTACCACAACGCCAGTTTTCGCTTCTACCACCACTTGTATCACCGCGCCTTCTATCTCTACGCCTGTCCATCACTGCTACACAGCTGTCTATCACTGCTACACAACTGTCTATCACTGCTATACTGCTGTCTATCACTGCTATACTGCTGTCTATTACTGCTACACAACTGTCTATCACTGCCACACAGCTGTCTATCACTGCCACACAACTGTCTATCACTGCTACACAACTGTCTATCACTGATACACAACTGTCTATCACTGCTACACAACTGTCTATCACTGCTACACAACTGTCTATCACTGCTACACAGTTGTCTATCACTGCTACACAACTGTCTATCACCGCGCCTTCTATCTCTACGCCTGTCCATCACTGCTACACAGCTGTCTATCACTGCTACACAACTGTCTATCACTGCTATACTGCTGTCTATCACTGCTATACTGCTGTCTATCACTGCTACACAACTGTCTATCACTGCTACACAACTGTCTATCACTGCTACACAACTGTCTATCACTGCCACACAACTGTCTATCACTGCCACACAGCTGTCTATCACTGCCACACAACTGTCTATCACTGCTACACAACTGTCTATCACTGATACACAACTGTCTATCACTGCTACACAACTGTCTATCACTGCTACACAACTGTCTATCACTGCTACACAACTGTCTATCACTGCTACACAGCTGTCTATCACTGCTACACAACTGTCTATCACTGCTATACTGCTGTCTATCACTGTTACACAACTGTCTATCACTGCTACACAACTGTCTATCACTGCTACACAACTGTCTATCACTGCTACACAACTGTCTATCACTGCTACACAACTGTCTATCACTGCTACACAACTGTCTATCACTGCTACACAACTGTCTATCACTGCTACACAGCTGTCTATCACTGTTACACAACTGTCTATCACTGCTACACAACTGTCTATCACTGCTACACAACTGTCTATCACTGCTACACAACTGTCTATCACTGCTACACAACTGTCTATCACTGTTACACAACTGTCTATCACTGCTACACAACTGTCTATCACTGCTACACAACTGTCTATCACTGCTACACAACTGTCTATCACTGATACACAACTGTCTATCACTGCTACACAACTGTCTATCACTGCTACACAACTGTCTATCACTGCTACACAACTGTCTATCACTGCTACACAACTGTCTATCACTGCTACACAACTGTCTATCACTGCTACACAACTGTCTATCACTGATACACAACTGTCTATCACTGCTACACAACTGTCTATCACTGTTACACAACTGTCTATCACTGCTACACAACTGTCTATCACTGCTACACAGTTGTCTCCAAGTGCTATATAATCTTATTGGCGTAGTGCTTTCTCCTGATAATTACCTTGCCTCCATCACAGTTTTCTCTCCCCGTTCACAGTTAGACAATTATCTCTCTTCTCTCACTGCTACACAGTTGTCTCTCACCTCTCACTGCTACACAGTTGTCTCCCACTACTGCACAGTTAACTCTCTGCTTCACAGTTTCCTCTCACTTCTGCGCAGTGTTCCCTCACTGCTACACAGTTGTCCCTCACTGCTACACTACCTCTGTCACCGCCACTCTCACCATCACCGTTACTGGCACTTGCCCCAATCCTCACCGTCACAACTTTCACTACACCATCTCTTCCTGACTTTCCAGTGCATCTAAACGTTTATGAAATGGTAAGGGTAATCATGAGGAGAGAGCGCTACGCCAGTGTCAGTATACACCACATGGAAGGAATATGGGATAAGGATCTAGGATAGGACGAAGGAAAAAAAAAGTTAATGGAAATAAATATGTTGATTGAAGAGTCCCTACATTATATAAGCTAGATAAATACACTTGATAACGTTCAAAGTATTATAGTATAATAAACAAATTTACTCCGTTACTCCTTTAAACCGGTAGTATACACTGCCACCTCCACACTCCTTCCGCCTAAATGTTACCATCTTGTCCTTCTTTAAGTCATTCTTACTTTCCCCTTGTGTCTATTGTGCAATAAATATAGTTATTGTCTTCAAACTATTACTTAATAACGAATGATTTCATTGTTTCTTTTTTCATGTGGTTAACCACTTCTGGATCAAATAGAAGCAAAGTTGTTGGGATTATTACCTGTTTTGAAGAGGTGTGTGGCGTGGGTGTAAGGTGGGTGGCGGGACGTGTTTGGCAACACTGGTGAGCCACCAGTCCAGCCTCAGCACCCGCTCTGTGAACACCTGTGTTGACACCATTACGGATCACTTGATTTAACTGTACTCTCTACTGAAGCTGTAGTTATTGTAAAAGATTCATTGTCATACTGGATTACAATGTATGTCATTACCGTTATTATCATGGTGATCTATATAGACCTGAGCTGTGGAGTGAGTTATTCTGACTTAGAGGCGATGGATGCCGCTTGCTCACCCTGGGACTCTTGTGAACGTAATGAAACAACGTTGCTTCCTCCAAAGTGGTATAATAGCAATTGTTTTTGTGATGAAATGTGTGCGGAGTATGGTGACTGCTGCCTCGATTCTCTTTATTATGATGTGTACAGTCATAAAAACAATGTAAACAAGTACCAATGTATTCATTTGATTCAGTACGGTGACACCTACATGAAGGGAACGTGCCCAGCACTCTGGCTGGACGAGGAGGTGTCCAAGCTCTGCCTGTCCGGCTCCCCGGCGTCTAGCAGAGAAAGGGTGGACCCTCTAGGTAACCTCCCGGCCACCAGCCTGGACACCTCCCTCACCTACACCAACTACTACTGCGCTCTCTGCAACAATGATTCACAGACGCTGAAGGTGTGGCCGGCGCGCTGGGAGTGTGAAAGCCTTAACAAGTACCGCCAGAACCTAACCGACGATTATGTCATGTCTCGACTAGCGTTCAAAAACCAAACATGGGGAATGAACATCGATAATAATGGGAGGTTAGAATTCCATGAATGCTCAATATTCCCAGTAATACCAGAAGAACTAAAGAACACCACTAGAAGCTGCTCTCAGGCAATTAAAACATGTGAGAAAGAGTGGGATGATAAGAAGGTAGCTGATTTGTGTCAGTCCTACACGGCTGTAGTCTACAGCCCCACACATCCCTACAGGAACCCACATTGTGCCAAGTGTAATAACGTGAGTCAGGAACAATTATCATGCGCCAGCCAAGACCTTTCTCGGATGAACAGGATTGACACATTTAATTCGGGTGCCTTTGCTCTCTTATTTGATTTCACTGATTCCAGTGGAAGCAATATTGTTGGATCTACTTCAGTCTGCCAGAGTTCAGAAATATGGGATCCCTTCTTCAAAAAGTGCAGGAACGTTTTATGCGGCAAACCGAATCATGTGTTCAAGTATGGTGTGTGTGTTGCCAACGTCGGAGATTTCAACGCCACTGTAAGTACAGAGCCTAACATAACATCGACTACCACAGCACCCACTAGTGGTCAAGTTTCTGGAAACATGGGTAACAGTTCCATTGTTCTCCCTGAAGGCAACAATCCCATCATATTTCCCGGCGACACGAACCACCACACGCCGCAACAGACCACATCTACAACAACGACTCTGCCCACCACATTTTCTGTCTCCAACACAGCTGTGTCATGGAACGGCTCCTATGAATTTCTTGAATGCAACAAAATAATGTTATCTGAAGACGAATTTTCGTTGTATGAGAACAGAACCGTGTATGTTGAGTTTTACAACCGGAGTTACCAGGAGGGGGAGTACGAGGTAGCTGAGGGCGGCGTCCTGGTGTGCTCGCCACAGACACCCACAGGAAAGTTCTCCCCGGTGATGGGTTGGGTCTCACTGGCGGGTCTTGGGCTGTCCTGCCTTTGTCTCCTGCTCCACTTAGCCGTCTTTATCCTGGTGCCGGAGCTTAGAAACCTGTCAGGGAAGAACCTGGCGTCCCTTTGCTTGGCTCTTCTGGCTTCGTATATGTGTTTCATCGTAAACGTGTTTGTAAATCCCGGTCAGAAGGATTGTATTACTCTGGCTGCAGCGATGTATTACTGTTTCCTCTCCTCTTTCATTTGGATGAGCGTAGTAGCCTTCGACATCTGGTATACATTTCGACGAACCAAAACAGATTTGCGATTGATAAGCGGGAAACATTGGCAGAGGTTCTTAATGTATTCCCTTTACAGCTGGCTTTTGCCGGCCGTCGCTACCATCATTGTCGTCACTATTGATGTTCAACAGCCGGAGGGAATCCCCGAGGAGTTGCTCCCTAGCTTTGGCAAACGCTGGTGCTGGTTCGGTCATCGCAAGGCTCTGCTCATATTTTTCGCCATTCCTATAGTCGCTATCATCATCGTCAACTGCATCCTCTTTATCAGTACTGCCAAAATAATAACAGAAACGACCCAATCCACCTCGACCATGACGACAAGCCCACACCACAAGAACCAGTACAAGATGTACATGCGGTTGGCTGTGCTCATGGGATTCACCTGGATCAGTGGTCTGGTGGCTGGGTACCTGCAGCTGGAGGCCGTCTGGTACGTCTTCGTGGTCCTCAACACGTTGCAGGGAGTCTTTATCTTCTTGGCCTTCACCTGCAGGAGCAAAGTGTGGCGGGCGGTGAGGTCCTCGTGCAGACATCTAGTGCAGTGTGGAGCTTCTTGGGTGGCGGGTCGTGGTCGCTCAGGCAGCCCCGCCGTGGAGTTGACAGACACACCTGACCACCAGTCCTCCTCCTCTTCACCCAACACCACCATCGACGGATGCTAACTGCCCTCTTTCGACGTGTGGTTTATAATCCCACACGTCGAAGTTACCCTTCTCGACGTTCGGTAACTGCCGTCCTCGACGGGTTCTAACTGTTCTCTTCAACGGGTGCCCTCCACCGTTACCACCTCCACAAATCTTCCTCCCTTCATTCATTTCTCATGGCCCCATCACTCATCAAATCTGTGCGAAAAGTGGCTCCTAAGTCAGCGTTCATCACTGTACGAGGTTTTTGTTAAACCAGTACCTGAAATATTGAACAATCATCACATGTGTCTGATATTACCAACACCTGTATTAGATGTTGCATTGCGTGTCATATGCTGTCATACGTGTCGTATGCTGTCATACGTGTCGTATGTTGTCATACGTGTCATATGCTGTCATACATTCTGTATGCTGTATACGAGTCATATTCTGCTATTCTTGCTGTATACTGTTATGTGTGTCACATGCTGTTATATTTGTCATTTGCTGTTATACATGTTTTATGCTGTCATCCATGTTTCATGGTACATGTGTTTTAATCTGCCATTATAGGTCATACAATCGTGTGTTTTATGATGTCATACATATTTATGCTGTCGTACAATTTATGATATACTTGTTTGCTGCCGCCATATGTTTTTTTATGCTGCCATAAATTTTATGTTGCCATTTACGTTTTATACTGCCATACATATTTTATGTTGTCATACGTGTTTCATGCTGTCATACGTATTTCATACTGTCAGATTTTTATGCTGTCATACACCTTCAATATTGTTATATGAGCTTTACGACATACATAGTTTGTGTTATACATAAATTATGTTGTCATACATGGTTTATGTTGCCATATATAGTTAATGTTATTATAAATGGTGTATGTGGGTACACAATTTATGTTGACAAATGTAGTTTATGCTGACATGTATGTTGGCATATGGAGTTTATGATGTCATATGTAATTTATGATGTCATATATATATATTTTATGATGCCATATGTAGTTTATGATGCCATATGTAGTTTGTGATGCCATATGTAGTTCATGATGTCATATGTATGTTATGATAACATTAGTTTATGTGACGATTATGCTATCATGGATAGTTTGTTATAAATATTTGATGGTGACATACATAGTTTGTTTACATAGGCACATGTTATCGTCAAGTTTGTTAAGTGTTGCAGCATAGTCCCTCCCTGGCTTGGCGCCTCCTTCTGATAATTACTTTGTTGTGTTGTCACATGCGCTGGTTATCGTGACCTGAGTAAGGTGTTATCAACTGTGATGGATCTCCTCCTAATAGTGAGGACTGTGTGTAGGCCTAGCAGTGAGGACTGTGTGTAGGCCTAGTAGTGAGGACTGTGTGTAGGTCTAGTAGTGAGGACTGTGTGTAGGTCCAGTAGTGAGGACTGTGTGTAGGTCTAGTAGTGAGGACTGTGTGTAGGCCCAGTAGTGAGGACTGTGTGTAGGCCCAGTAGTGAGGACTGTGTGTAGGTCCAGTAGTGAGGACTGTGTGTAGGTCTAGTAGTGAGGACTGTGTGTAGGCCCAGTAGTGAGGACTGTGTGTAGGCCTAGTAGTGAGGACTGTGTGTAGGCCTAGTAGTGAGGACTGTGTGTAGGCCCAGTAGTGAGGACTGTGTGTAGGCCTAGTAGTGAGGACTGTGTGTAGGCCTAGTAGTGAGGACTGTATGTAGGCCCAGTAGTGAGGACTGTGTGTAGGTCTAGTAGTAAGGACTGTGTGTAGGCCTAGTAGTGAGGACTGTGTGTAGGCCTAGTAGTGAGGACTGTGTGTAGGCCTAGTAGTGAGGACTGTGTGTAGGCCCAGTAGTGAGGACTGTGTGTAGACCCAGTAGTGAGGACTGTGTGTAGGCCTAGTAGTGAGGACTGTGTGTAGGCCCAGTAGTGAGGACTGTGTGTAGGCCAGTAGTGAGGACTGTGTGTAGGTCTAGTAGTAAGGACTGTGTGTAGGCCTAGTAGTGAGGACTGTGTGTAGGCCTAGTAGTGAGGACTGTGTGTAGGCCCAGTAGTGAGGACTGTGTGTAGGCCTAGTAGTGAGGACTGTGTGTAGGCCCAGTAGTGAGGACTGTGTGTAGGCCTAGTAGTGAGGACTGTGTGTAGGCCTAGTAGTGAGGACTGTGTGTAGGCCCAGTAGTGAGGACTGTGTGTAGGCCTAGTAGTGAGGACTGTGTGTAGGCCTAGTAGTGAGGACTGTATGTAGGCCCAGTAGTGAGGACTGTGTGTAGGTCTAGTAGTAAGGACTGTGTGTAGGCCTAGTAGTGAGGACTGTGTGTAGGCCTAGTAGTGAGGACTGTGTGTAGGCCCAGTAGTGAGGACTGTGTGTAGGCCTAGTAGTGAGGACTGTGTGTAGGCCTAGTAGTGAGGACTGTGTGTAGGCCCAGTAGTGAGGACTGTGTGTAGACCCAGTAGTGAGGACTGTGTGTAGGCCTAGTAGTGAGGACTGTGTGTAGGCCCAGTAGTGAGGACTGTGTGTAGGCCCAGTAGTGAGGACTGTGTGTAGGTCTAGTAGTAAGGACTGTGTGTAGGCCTAGTAGTGAGGACTGTGTGTAGGCCTAGTAGTGAGGACTGTGTGTAGGCCCAGTAGTGAGGACTGTGTGTAGGCCTAGTAGTGAGGACTGTGTGTAGGCCCAGCAGTGAGGACTGTGTGTAGGCCCAGTAGTGAGGACTGTGTGTAGGCCCAGTAGTGAGGACTGTGTGTAGGCCCAGTAGTGAGGACTGTGTGTAGGCCTAGTAGTGAGGACTGTGTGTAGGCCCAGTAGTGAGGACTGTGTGTAGGTCTAGTAGTGAGGACTGTGTGTAGGCCTAGTAGTGAGGACTGTGTGTAGGCCCAGCAGTGAGGACTGTGTGTAGGCCCAGTAGTGAGGACTGTGTGTAGGCCCAGTAGTGAGGACTGTGTGTAGGCCCAGTAGTGAGGACTGTGTGTAGGCCTAGTAGTGAGGACTGTGTGTAGGCCTAGTAGTGAGGACTGTGTGTAGGCCTAGTAGTGAGGACTGTGTGTAGGCCCAGTAGTGAGGACTGTGTGTAGGCCTAGTAGTGAGGACTGTGTGTAGGCCCAGTAGTGAGGACTGTGTGTAGGCCTAGTAGCGAGGACTGTGTGTAGGCCTAGTAGTGAGTACTGTGTGTAGGCCTAGTAGCGAGGACTGTGTGTAGGCCTAGTAGTGAGTACTGTGTGTAGGCCTAGTAGTGAGTACTGTGTGTAGGCCTAGTAGCGAGGTGTCTGTCAACTGTGTGATAAGACAGACTCCATGTAATTTTCCTTAGCAAGTGTTAAAATATATTTTCCATGTTGGGAACAGTGTTAAACATGTGAGTGTGTATCCGTTGTGACTAACTCATGGACAGTCAACATGTGACTAACTCGTGGCCAGTCAACATGTGACTAACTCATGGCCAGTCAACATGTGACTAACTCGTGGCCAGTCAACATGTGACTAACTCATGGCCAGTCAACATGTGACTAACTCATGGCCAGTCAACATGTGACTAACTCATGGCCAGTCAACATGTGACTAACTCGTGGCCAGTCAACATGTGACTAACTCATGGCCAGTCAACATGTGACTAACTCATGGCCAGTCAACATAAAAAATATTTCAGCAGTGAACTTTACACTTGTGTGTTAACCCAGACGCTTTATGTATTTATTAAATTAAAACTTAATCAATGTACATATTTAATTTAATACATGTAATATATATTTTCTACTTTATATATGTATAATTAAAATATTTAAAATATAATAGCAATGAATTTTTCTGACCCTGCATGTTTATATGCATATTACATTGAGTACCAATAATTCCTATACATCTATGCTCCCTTGATTATATCATCGTCATGTTAAGCAGACATTTTTTAGTCATCAGTTTTGTATGTTACATTTTTAAATTTACTTTGTTTTCATAAATTCATATTAATTTCGCTCCCCTTCTCTCTTTTTATACTGTAAATGAATATTAAATTATAGAGCCTCCGTACTTTAATAGCCGACCCCACTGGGAGGTGCGAGTGCGCCCTGGCGGCCTCCTGCAGCACCAGCCTCGTACTGTCTCCCGGCTCTACAGGCAGTTGTTGTTGTTATAGATCCAGCTACTCGGAACAAGTTCCAAGTTGCACAGGCTATGGTGAGCCCGTAACTTACCTGGCACAGGAGCGGGGCAAGTAGCACGGGCTATGGCGAGCCCGTAGTGGACTTACCTGGCACAGGAGCGGTCCTGTGTCTACGGGCCGTTGTGGCACAACATTTATATAGTCCTCCCGCCAGTAGTGTATATGGTCTGCACGACTTGGCGCCGGTTGTAATTACCTCATTATACTTCTCGCTCCTAAGAGTCTTTGAACTCTATTGGCTAATAATATTTCTTTAAAATTGAATCAGTTATTATACATGTATCGTAAATATTTGTGGCACAGATTATATGTCAACACCTCAAGTGTAAGAGTATAAGGATATGGTGTGGGAGGCTGTGGTGTGGGCGGGAGTGTGGGAGGCTGTGGTGTGGGCGGGAGTGTGGGAGGCTGTGGTGTGGGCGGGAGTGTGGGAGGCTGTGGTGTGGGCGGGAGTGTGGGAGGCTGTGGTGTGGGCGGGAGTGTGGGAGCCTGTGGTGTGGGCGGGAGTGTGGGAGGCTGTGGTGTGGGCGGGAGTGTGGGAGGCTGTGGTGTGGGCGGGAGTGTGGGAGGCTGTGGTGTGGGCGGGAGTGTGGGAGGCTGTGGTGTGGGCGGGAGTGTGGGAGGCTGTGGTGTGGGCGGGAGTGTGGGAGGCTGTGGTGTGGGCGGGAGAGGCTGTGGTGTGGGCGGGAGTGTGGGAGGCTGTGGTGTGGGTGGGAGTGTGGGAGGCTGTGGTGTGGACGGGAGTGTGGGAGGCTGTGGTGTGGGCGGGAGTGTGGGAGGCTGTGGTGTGGGCGGGAGTGTGGGAGGCTGTGGTGTGGGCGGGAGTGTGGGAGGCTGTGGTGTGGGCGGGAGTGTGGGAGGCTGTGGTGTGGGCGGGAGTGTGGGAGGCTGTGGTGTGGGCGGGAGTGTGGGAGGCTGTGGTGTGGGCGGGAGTGTGGGAGGCTGTGGTGTGGGCGGGAGTGTGGGAGGCTGTGGTGTGGGCGGGAGTGTGGGAGGCTGTGGTGTGGGCGGGAGTGTGGGAGGCTGTGGTGTGGGCGGGAGTGTGGGAGGCTGTGGTGTGGGCGGGAGTGTGGGAGGCTGTGGTGTGGGCGGGAGTGTGGGAGGCTGTGGTGTGGGCGGGAGTGTGGGAGGCTGTGGTGTGGGCGGGAGTGTGGGAGGCTGTGGTGTGGGCGGGAGTGTGGGAGGCTGTGGTGTGGGCGGGAGTGTGGGAGGCTGTGGTGTGGGGTGGGAGTGTGGGAGGCTGTGGTGTGGGCGGGAGTGTGGGAGGCTGTGGTGTGGGCGGGAGTGTGGGAGGCTGTGGTGTGGGCGGGAGTGTGGGAGGCTGTGGTGTGGGCGGGAGTGTGGGAGGCTGTGGTGTGGGCGGGAGTGTGGGAGGCTGTGGTGTGGGCGGGAGTGTGGGAGCCTGTGGTGTGGGCGGGAGTGTGGGAGGCTGTGGTGTGGGCGGGAGTGTGGGAGGCTGTGGTGTGGGCGGGAGTGTGGGAGGCTGTGGTGGGAGTGTGGGAGGCTGGTGTGGGCGGGAGTGTGGGAGGCTGTGGTGTGGGCGGGAGTGTGGGAGCCTGTGGTGTGGGCGGGAGTGTGGGAGGCTGTGGTGTGGGCGGGAGTGTGGGAGGCTGTGGTGTGGGCGGGAGTGTGGGAGGTTGTGGTGTGGGCGGGAGTGTGGGAGGCTGTGGTGTGGGCGGGAGTGTGGGAGGCTGTGGTGTGGGCGGGAGTGTGGGAGGCTGTGGTGTGGGCGGGAGTGTGGGAGGCTGTGGTGTGGGCGGGAGTGTGGGAGGCTGTGGTGTGGGCGGGAGTGTGGGAGGCTGTGGTGTGGGCGGGAGTGTGGGAGGCTGTGGTGTGGGCGGGAGTGTGGGAGCCTGTGGTGTGGGCGGGAGTGTGGGAGGCTGTGGTGTGGGCGGGAGTGTGGGAGGCTGTGGTGTGGGCGGGAGTGTGGGAGGCTGTGGTGTGGGCGGGAGTGTGGGAGGCTGTGGTGTGGGCGGGAGTGTGGGAGCCTGTGGTGTGGGCGGGAGTGTGGGAGGCTGTGGTGTGGGCGGGAGTGTGGGAGGCTGTGGTGTGGGCGGGAGTGTGGGAGGCTGTGGTGTGGGCGGGAGTGTGGGAGGCTGTGGTGTGGGCGGGAGTGTGGGAGGCTGTGGTGTAGGCGGGAGTGTGGGAGGCTGTGGTGTGGGCGGGAGTGTGGGAGGCTGTGGTGTAGGTGGGAGTGTGGGAGGCTGTGGTGTGGGCGGGAGTGTGGGAGGCTGTGGGGTGGGCGGGAGTGTGGGAGCCTCTGGTGTTGGCGGGAGTGTGGGAGCCTCTGGTGTGGGCGGGAGTGTGGGAGCCTCTGGTGTGGGCGGGAGTGTGGGAGCCTCTGGTGTGGGCGGGAGTGTGGGAGCCTCTGGTGTAGGTGGGAGTGTGGGAGCCTCTGGTGTAGGTGGGAGTGTGGGAGGCTGTGGTGTTGGTGGGAGTGTGGGAGCCTCTGGTGTAGGTGTGAGTGTGGGAGCCTCTGGTGTAGGTGGGAGTGTGGGAGCCTCTGGTGTAGGTGTGAGTGTGGGAGCCTCTGGTGTGGGTGGGAGTGTGGGAGGCTGTGGTGTTGGCGGGAGTGTGGGAGCCTCTGGTGTAGGTGTGAGTGTGGGAGCCTCTGGTGTAGGTGGGAGTGTGGGAGCCTCTGGTGTTGGCGGGAGTGTGGGAGGCTGTGGTGTTGGTGGGAGTGTGGGAGCCTCTGGTGTAGGTGGGAGTGTGGGAGCCTCTGGTGTAGGTGGGAGTGTGGGAGCCTCTGGTGTAGGTGGGAGTGTGGGTGCCTCTGGTGTAGGTGGGAGTGTGGGAGGCTGTGGTGTTGGTGGGAGTGTGGGAGCCTCTGGTGTAGGTGGGAGTGTGGGAGCCTCTGGTGTAGGTGGGAGTGTGGGTGCCTCTGGTGTAGGTGGGAGTGTGGGAGCCTCTGGTGTTGGCGGGAGTGTGGGAGCCTCTGGTGTAGGTGGGAGTGTGGGAGCCTCTGGTGTAGGTGGGAGTGTGGGTGCCTCTGGTGTTGGTGGGAGTGTGGGAGCCTCTGGTGTAGGTGGGAGTGTGGGAGCCTCTGGTGTGGGCGGGAGTGTGGGAGGCTGTGGTGTGGGCGGGAGTGTGGGAGCCTGTGGTGTGGGCGGGAGTGTGGGAGCCTGTGGTGAGGGTGGGAGTGTGGGTGCCTCTGGTGTTGGTGGGAGTGTGGGAGTTTCTGGTGTAGGTGGGAGTGTGGGTGCCTCTGGTGTTGGTGGGAGTGTGGGAGCCTCTGGTGTTGGTGGGAGTGTGGGAGCCTCTGGTGTGGGCGGGAGTGTGGGAGCCTCTGGTGTTGACGGGAGTGTGGGAGCCTCTGGTGTGGGCGGGAGTGTGGGAGCCTGTGGTGTAGGTGGGAGTGTGGGAGCCTCTGGTGTTGGCGGGAATGTGGGAGCCTCTGGTGTGGGCGGGAGTGTGGGAGCCTGTGGTTTAGGTGGGAGTGTGGGAGCCTCTGGTGTGGGCGGGAGTGTGGAAGCCTCTGGTGTTGGTGGGAGTGTGGGTGCCTCTGGTGTTGGCGGGAGTGTGGGAGCCTCTGGTGTTGGCGGGAGTGTGGGAGCGTCTTGGGTGTTGGAGGGAAGCCCCCTGGTGTAGGAGGGAAGCCCCCTGGTGTGGAGGAAAGTATGCATACACCTAGAGTGGGCACCCTTAGTTCTGGCAGGGAGAGCGGGCACATGTGGTATAAACGGGGGAGTGTGGGCACACCTGGTGTGAGCAGTCATTGTGGGCGACGAGTGTAGGTGCCTCATATGTTTGCGGGAAGTGTTGGCACGCATGGTCTTGGGGCGGAGACCCCCCAGGTGTAAGCAAGGAGTGTGGCTGCCCCTGGTGTGGGCGGGAGTGTGGCTGCCCCTGGTGTGTGCGGGGAGTGTGGGTGGGGAGTGTGGGCGGGGAGTGTGGGCGTGGTGCGGGTGCCAGTCTGGGGTCACGGTCCTACATGATGATGTCGAGGTTGGAATAAAAAGTTAAGAAAGGGGTCAAAGGTGGTCCCCATTTACTGTGTAATGGGTAATGCGTCAAGGTGGTTGCCAGCTGCGCAACTGCAATGACAAGCAGGCCCCTAATGATGCCATTTTGGCTGATGAAGAAGGCAGATTGGTAACTCATTCATTATTTAACTTTCACAGTCATAGCAACTGTGGCTGGTAAAGAAAAAATATTAAAATTGTTAACGATAAACGATTAAAGGTCTTTTAAGGGCTATAAAGGAATAAAGTTATATCTAAGTAAGGAGCAAGCTGGAAGTGCAAGTATTTCTCACTGAATGTTGTTTTTGTATGCTAAGATTTACGTCTAGGAAAATATCATGCAAAGAAGCAAAATTTACTTATACGTTTTGCCTAAAAAAAAAAATGTTATTAAACGTTGCCCACAAAGGCAAGAAAAGTTATACAGCACAATATGAAATATTTTAATTTGAATTCCACCCTCTGTTTGCTGTCAAGAATTCTAAAAATTTCCTTCTGTGAAAATAAGCAAATTTATGTGATTATTCTTACACGTATTTAGAGGTATTATCACGAAGGTTTGAGCAACATAAACGTTTGGGCTCCAAGATGTTGTTGAGTGAGGGGTGACGTGGACCCAAGGCTTGAAGATGGGTTATGTGAGGTAATGGAACCGCCAAGGTCAAGACTGTTGAACTGAGAGTTTAAAATAAGTTAAAAGAGACGTCTTCCCTTCAGGTCTCGGTTCTGATGGTTTTGGTCAGACCAAAAAATGAAAAAGTATTTGACGTTTCCATAACCGTGAGAAAGGTTCACGTATAAAACAGCCGCCACATCCCTTCTTATGATCTCACAAAACATTTGAATACCTAATGAAGGTAGAGATGAGAAAAGTGAACATTTGTTAGAAAATAAAAGCTGGGAAAGCTAGGTTTGCCGGAGCAGGCCAGGCGCAGACGAGAGTACTAGTATGATACTTGTCGAGAAAATTATAAGCAACAACATCACTATTTCCATAAATATTCAGTTTTGAAAATTATATTATTATCAAAATGATTCATCTTGAATGTGTAACATTACTATTTTGGTACGTAGCAACAACAGCAGTACAAATAACGTCTAATTACTATCATTGTAATACAAAATAAAGGTGGAAAGATCAATTATAAACACCCTTGCCCAATAACCGCAATAACATCCAATTTTGTCTAAAACCATTTGGTCCGCTGCCACAAAGTGTATGGCAACAATTAAATTATCAGAGAAAACGGGATGCGCTCAGACGTATGTTCACCACCTTTAGCATGTGATAACACCTATAATTTTAGAGTTTTTATTTTCCTTCTTAACTTTAGTTTTAAATGCTGCACCATTGTAGATGTCAATAGTATGTAGAGTCTTTAGAAAACACATCAAACACACAGCACTTGTCGTGACATAAAATCAATTCTTCTCATCCATGACTATGGGTAATTTTTTAATTCATCAAGATAGCCGGATTTATCACACTGTATGTGCTGGCTACACATCACTCAGATTTCTGTCATTTCTGGTTATCCTGCTTATACTCATTACACAAACATTTTAATTTGCGTCCTAATTTTTCCGTTTTGCCCGAAACGCTTTGCGTAATAGTGGCTTTAGGCATTGTATGTACTAGCTCTATCTATTAATCCAACAAACTTTGTAAAATCTCTTTATGTATGTACCTTACCTAAATAAACATTTATTTATTTATTTATATATTTCTAATGTTGATTTGTGGATATCGACACAGGCATGGCTCCCAGTCCACAGAGGGATGTAACCAGTCTCCAAGTCGAGGGGTGACTGCTGTCACTGGGAGAATGAACATCCAGTAATCCTCATCCTTCTATGCTAAACTTTGTATTTTTGTAATTAACTTCGGTAATATCCTCGCAATTTTGTCTAACTTATCTCTTGTTGAACAATGCTCAACGATAAATTATTTTGAGCCCTTAATATTCCGGCGATTTTTTGCTAACACATCAGCTCGTTCTTTGTGTGGTAACTGGTTCAATAAAAATGATAGTCATCGGGAGGCTAAACCCTTTATGCAAACTACGTACCATCAAGAAGAAGAAGAAATAAAAATATCTCAAACTTCATCGAACTGGACATACATTTTAATGCAATTTACCTCTCAGGGAGACATCCCACCACACGATCATCATACACCTCTATCACCAACCAGGGTATTGAGAATCTTGCTCTTATAAAAGCATTCACACTTGAAACAATTTCTTACTATATGGAGCGAGATAGCCTCATCCCTTACTGGGGAAAAAAGGCTATATGAGTGGGCGGCATAACCTCATTCCATACTGGGGTGTTCCTCCCGCTTTTGTGTGGGCGGGATAGTCTCTTCTTATACTGGGGTGTTTCTCTCGCTTTTGTGTGGGCGGGATAGTCTCTTCTTATACTGGAGTGTTTCTCTCGCTTTTGTGTGGGCGGGATAGTCTCTTCTTATACTGGGGTGTTCCTCTCGCTTTTGTGTGGGCGGGATAGTCTCTTCTTATACTGGGGTGTTCCTCCCGCTTTTGTGTGGGCGGGATAGTCTCTTCTTATACTGGGGTGTTCCTCCCGCTTCTGTGTGGGCGGGATAGTCTCTTCTTATACTGGGGTGTTCCTCCCGCTTTTGTGTGGGCGGGATAGTCTCTTCTTATACTGGGGTGTTCCTCCCGCTTTTGTGTGGGCGGGATAGTCTCTTCTTATACTGGGGTGTTCCTCCCGCTTCTGTGTGGGCGGGATAGTCTCTTCTGTGTGGGCGGGATAGTCTCTTCTTATACTGGGTGTTCCTCCCGCTTCTGTGTGGGCGGGATAGTCTCTTCTTATACTGGGGTATTCCTCCCGCTTCTGTGTGGGCGGGATAGTCTCTTCTTATACTGGGGTATTCCTCCCGCTTCTGTGTGGGCGGGATAGTCTCTTCTTATACTGGGGTGTTCCTCCCGCTTCTGTGTGGGCGGGATAGTCTCTTCTTATACTGGGGTGTTCCTCCCGCTTCTGTGTGGCGGGATAGTCTCTTCTTATACTGGGGTATTCCTCCCGCTTCTGTGTGGGCGGGATAGTCTCTTCTTATACTGGGGTGTTCCTCTCGCTTCTGTGTGGGCGGGATAGTCTCTTCTTATACTGGGGTGTTCCTCCCGCTTCTGTGTGGGCGGGATAGTCTCTTCTTATACTGGGGTGTTCCTCTCGCTTCTGTGTGGGCGGGATAGTCTCTTCTTATACTGGGGTGTTCCTCCCGCTTCTGTGTGGGCGGGATAGTCTCTTCTTATACTGGGGTGTTCCTCTCGCTTCTGTGTGGGCGGGATAGTCTCTTCTTATACTGGGGTGTTCCTCCCGCTTCTGTGTGGGCGGGATAGTCTCTTCTTATACTGGGGTGTTCCTCTCGCTTCTGTGTGGGCGGGATAGTCTCTTCTTATACTGGGGTGTTCCTCCCGCTTCTGTGTGGGCGGGATAGTCTCTTCTTATACTGGGGTGTTCCTCTCGCTTTTGTGTGGGCGGGATAGTCTCTTCTTATACTGGGGTGTTCCTCCCGCTTTTGTGTGGGCGGGATAGTCTCTTCTTATACTGGGGTGTTCCTCCCGCTTTTGTGTGGGCGGGATAGTCTCTTCTTATACTGGGGTGTTCCTCTCGCTTTTGTGTGGGCGGGATAGTCTCTTCTTATACTGGGGTATTCCTCCCGCTTTTGTGTGGGCGGGATAGTCTCTTCTTATACTGGGGTGTTCCTCCCGCTTCTGTGTGGGCGGGATAGTCTCTTCTTATACTGGGGTGTTCCTCCCGCTTCTGTGTGGGCGGGATAGTCTCTTCTTATACTGGGGTGTTCCTCCCGCTTTTGTGTGGGCGGGATAGTCTCTTCTTATACTGGGGTGTTCCTCCCGCTTATGTGTGGGCGGGATAGTCTCTTCTTATACTGGGGTGTTCCTCCCGCTTTTGTGTGGGCGGGATAGTCTCTTCTTATACTGGGGTGTTCCTCTCGCTTCTGTGTGGGCGGGATAGTCTCTTCTTATACTGGGGTGTTCCTCCCGCTTCTGTGTGGGCGGGATAGTCTCTTCTTATACTGGGGTGTTCCTCCCGCTTCTGTGTGGGCGAGATAGTCTCTTCTTATACTGGGGTGTCCTCCCGCTTCTGTGTGGGCGGGATAGTCTCTTCTTATACTGGGGTGTTCCTCTCGCTTTTGTGTGGGCGGGATAGTCTCTTCTTATACTGGGGTGTTCCTCCCGCTTCTGTGTAGGCGGGATAGTCTCTTCTCATACTGGGGTGTTCCTCCCGCTTCTGTGTGGGCGGGATAGTCTCTTCTTATACTGGGGTGTTCCTCCCGCTTTTGTGTGGGCGGGATAGTCTCTTCTTATACTGGGGTGTTCCTCCCGCTTCTGTGTGGGCGGGATAGTCTCTTCTTAAACTGGGGTGTTCCTCTCGCTTCTGTGTGGGCGGGATAGTCTCTTCTTATACTGGGGTGTTCCTCCCGCTTCTGTGTGGGCGGGATAGTCTCTTCTTATACTGGGGTGTTCCTCCCGCTTCTGTGTGGGCGGGATAGTCTCTTCTTATACTGGGGTGTTCCTCCCGCTTCTGTGTGGGCGGGATAGTCTCTTCTTATACTGGGGTGTTCCTCCCGCTTCTGTGTGGGCGGGATAGTCTCTTCTTATACTGGGGTGTTCCTCCCGCTTCTGTGTGGGCGGGATAGTCTCTTCTTATACTGGGGTGTTCTTCTCGCTTCTGTGTGGGCGGGATAGTCTCTTCTTATACTGGGGTGTTCCTCCCGCTTCTGTGTGGGCGGGATAGTCTCTTCTTATACTGGGGTGTTCCTCCCGCTTCTGTGTGGGCGGGATAGTCTCTTCTTATACTGGGGTGTTCCTCCCGCTTCTGTGTGGGCGGGATAGTCTCTTCTTATACTGGGGTGTCCTCCCGCTTCTGTGTGGGCGGGATAGTCTCTTCTTATACTGGGGTGTTCCTCTCGCTTCTGTGTGGGCGGGATAGTCCCTTCTCATACAAGACACTGACAGCCTTCTTAAACTGAGGACGTGGGGACAAGGGAAGCTCGAAGGAAGATCTTGCACCAACCAAGTCATAGGTGCTAAGGAATTTCTACATCCTGCGCCAATGGTTGTAATTCAATGAAACAAGTTATCGAAGCCATTCAGTTCGATAATTTCAGAAAAAAAACGACTCGGAACGTAAAGGTCAAGAGATGTAATATACATGAAGTATAAAATGTTAGGAAGCGGGTCATAAAGAGTTAAACACACTACCCCGTCCTCACTGACAGGTCAGCCTCTTCTCGCGATTCATAGCTTACGAACCCCTGCAACCTGCCTAACCTATCGAGACACATACATATAAAACGTCATTACGGTGATTAACTTTTTATTAAAATGTTTAATTTTTAAAGGATTGATCGATTCCGTAACAAATTAGACGTATATGTGATAGGAAGAGACGCACAACTTTCCACCAGATACTTTTCATTTGGTATTCCCGTACGGAAGCGGACTCACCTTCACCTTGGCTGAGGCGCGGACGTGGTGGTGGTGGTGGTGGCTTGCCAGAAACGTTTTTACCTCTCCGCCTCCAGGCGTGAGGTGGTGGCGCCGTTGTCTTCATTTTTATAGACAATATGTTTACTTTTCAAGTGGCGTGTTATAGTGTTATGTAATATCATTACTATGTACATTTCTGTGCTTAGTGTTTCAGAGCGAGCCTGGTATCCTCACGGGGTACTACCATTATCGGCAATATCACCCTGATCAGAAAATCACTGGTCCATCTGGACACTTTATGAGATGCATAAGAAATTAAAAAAATAGTTGCAGGGTCAATTTGATCGCCAGAGCTATAACTGTACATCCTGAAGGCCACCTGTACGCAAGCTCTTCACCCTGACGCCCACACTCACCGTTCACAGCCCGACGCCCACACTCACTGTTCATAGCCCGACGCCCACACTCACTGTTCATAGCCCGACGCCCACACTCACCGTTCATAGCCCGACGCCCACACTCACGGTACACAACTCGACGCCCACACTCACGGTACACAGCCCGACGCCCACACTCACGGTTCCCAGCCCGACGCCCACACTCACGGTACACAGCCCGACGCCCACACTCACCGTTCACAGCCCGACGCTCACACTCAAGGTTCATAGCCCGACGCCCACACTCACCGTTCACAGCCCGACGCCCACACTCACGGTACACAGCCCGACGCCCACACTCACCGTTCACAGCCCGACGCCCACACTCACGTTTCACAGCCCGACGCCCACACTCACGGTTCACAGCCCGACGCCCACACTCACCGTTCACAGCTCGACGCTCACACTCACCGTTCACAGCCCGACGCCCACACTCACGGTACACAGCCCGACGCCCACACTCACGGTTCACAGCCCGACGCCCACACTCACCGTTCACAGCCCGACGCCCACACTCACGGTTCACAGCCCGACGCCCACACTCACGGTTCACAGCCCGACGCCCACACTCACGGTTCATAGCCCGACGCCCACACTCACGGTACACAGCCCGACGCCCACACTCACGGCTCACAGCCCGACGCCCACACTCACGGTACACAGCCCGACGCCCACACTCACGGTACACAGCCCGACGCCCACACTCACGGTTCATAGCCCGACGCCCACACTCACGGTACACAGCCCGACGCCCACACTCACGGTTCACAGCCCGACGCCCACGCTCACGGTTCATAGCCCGACGCCCACACTCACGGTTCACAGCCCGACGCCCACACTCACCGTTCACAGCTCGACGCCCACACTCACGGTACACAGCCCGACGCCCACACTCACGGTACACAGCCCGACGCCCACACTCACCGTTCACAGCCCGACGCCCACACTCACGGTACACAGCCCGACGCCCACACTCACCGTTCACAGCCCGACGCCCACACTCACGGTTCATAGCCCGACGCCCACACTCACGGTACACAGCCCGACGCCCACACTCACGGTACACAGCCCGACGCCCACACTCACGGTACACAGCCCGACGCCCACACTCACGGTACACAGCCCGACGCCCACACTCACGGTTCATAGCCCGACGCCCACACGGTACACAGCCCGACGCCCACACTCACGGTACACAGCCCGACGCCCACACTCACGGTACACAGCCCGACGCCCACACTCACCGTTCACAGCCCGACGCCCACACTCACGGTTCATAGCCCGACGCCCACACTCACGGTACAGAGCCCGACGCCCACACTCACGGTACACAGCCCGACGCCCACACTCACCGTTCACAGCCCGACGCCCACACTCACGGTTCATAGCCCGACGCCCACACTCACGGTACACAGCCCGACGCCCACACTCACGGTACACAGCCCGACGCCCACACTCACGGTACACAGCCCGACGCCCACACTCACCGTTCACAGCCCGACGCCCACACTCACGGTTCATAGCCCGACGCCCACACTCACGGTACACAGCCCGACGCCCACACTCACGGTACACAGCCCGACGCCCACACTCACGGTACACAGCCCGACGCCCACACTCACGGTACACAGCCCGACGCCCACACTCACGGTTCATAGCCCGACGCCCACACGGTACACAGCCCGACGCCCACACTCACGGTACACAGCCCGACGCCCACACTCACGGTACACAGCCCGACGCCCACACTCACCGTTCACAGCCCGACGCCCACACTCACGGTTCATAGCCCGACGCCCACACTCACGGTACAGAGCCCGACGCCCACACTCACGGTACACAGCCCGACGCCCACACTCACCGTTCACAGCCCGACGCCCACACTCACGGTTCATAGCCCGACGCCCACACTCACGGTACACAGCCCGACGCCCACACTCACGGTACACAGCCCGACGCCCACACTCACGGTACACAGCCCGACGCCCACACTCACCGTTCACAGCTCGACGCCCACACTCACGGTACACAGCCCGACGCCCACACTCACCGTTCACAGCTCGACGCCCACACTCACCGTTCATAGCCCGACGCCCACACTCACGGTTCACAGCCCGACGCCCACACTCACGGTTCACAGCCCGACGCCCACACTCACGGTACACAGCCCGACGCCCACACTCACGGTTCATAGCCCGACGCCCACACTCACGGTTCATAGCCCGACGCCCACACTCACGGTTCACAGCCCGACGCCCACGCTCACGGTTCATAGCCCGACGCCCACACTCACGGTACACAGCTCGACGCCCACACTCACGGTACACAGCCCGACGCCCACACTCACCGTTCACAGCCCGACGCCCACACTCACGGTACACAGCCCGACGCCCACACTCACGGTTCATAGCCCGACGCTCACGGTTCACAGCCCGACGCCCACACTCACGGTACACAGCCCGACGCTCACACTCACGGTACACAGCCCGACGCCCACACTCATGGTTCACAGCCCGACGCCCACACTCACGGTACACAGCCCGACGCCCACACTCACGGTACACAGCCCGACGCCCACACTCACCGTTCACAGCCCGACGCCCACACTCACGGTTCATAGCCCGACGCCCACACTCACGGTACACAGCCCGACGCCCACACTCACGGTACACAGCCCGACGCCCACACTCACGGTACACAGCCCGACGCCCACACTCACGGTACACAGCCCGACGCCCACACTCACGGTTCATAGCCCGACGCCCACACTCACGGTTCACAGCCCGACGCCCACACTCACCGTTCACAGCCCGACGCCCACACTCATGGTACACAGCCCGACGCCCACACTCACCGTTCACAGCCCGACGCCCACACTCACGGTACACAGCCCGACGCCCACACTCACGGTACACAGCCCGACGCCCACACTCACGGTACACAGCCCGACGCCCACACTCACGGTACACAGCCCGACGCCCACACTCACGGTACACAGCCCGACGCCCACACTCACGGTACACAAAAAATTTATATAACCTTATTACATAAACTGGCTAGGCTATTTTTGCTTTAATTCCTTGGTAACTCTTGACTACTGAAAGACAGCGGAGAGTCGGTCATTATTGGAACATAATGGCCGCGTCCTTCTGAGACTCTTCCTCAGAACACAACCACATATTCTTTAACTCATTAGTAAACACTTCCCTAAGTAGAAATACATATATCTCACTCATTAGAGATAATTTTTATCGTGTCAGAATTGCTTATGAGAGTCTTAGCAATATTTTATGGACACAATTGAAGAAAGTCAGCTGTGGCCATACTGGGTGTTGTTATATATTATTTCTTCATGATCATGTTATTTATTATTTCTTCTCCTTCATGTTCTGAGAAGAATTACTACTCCTTTACAACTAATTCCGTATAGTAAATAACATTATAGATTATCTCTAATTAATGAGACTTCACGCGCTCCTTTCAAAATTGAATAGAAACTTTGAGCCAGATGTGAAGGTGAGAGGCCTGGTGCCCCAGGCAGACCTTCCCTCTTCCTCGCCCTCCTCCATGCAAGACACCAACCCAAGCCAGTATTATGCACACCAGACAACAATATAGTGAGTTTGACCTCAGATGCCGTCGTGTCAATACCGAGCCGCGTACGCAACATCCTATTTGTTTCGAGCCAGAGGACTCTACCTCGGAGAGGAACGCAAAACGAGTCTCCAGCTCTCATACAGTGTCTTCTTACGGAGATAACGCCTCCTGAGTTTCCCAGTATTCTTATCAAGTCTGTGTCTGGTCAGTGTGTCTTCACAAATACCGGGACCTTGAGCAGGGCGCTGTAGAGACTTCCGTTCCGTGGGCCCATAGACACAGTTCGTTCCATTGCGCGGCACTGAAGTTGTCTAGGCGGAGGTTGTTGCATCATCAGCTATCGGGCATTACCAAGCTGGAGAAATAGACTGTACAGTGTCGCCGGGTTTTGTCCCATAAAGTAGAGTCTCTCTCTCATGCTATTGGTAAATAGGACAAACCGACGTGGGTGTTTCCATGGATGAAGTTCGTGATGCTCTGAAAATGTTAAGGAGCTCATCAGAAAGCCTCTTAAACGCTACAAAAGTCCGAGATTGTGCCGGGTCGACGTTTTCTCGTCATTTGCTACCGACTGTAAAGTATTGCACACCTTCCTGCTTCCTATCCACTTACCCGTCTAGGGTACGAGGCCTATACGGGGGGACGAGCTAGCCGGACGTACAAGTAGCAGCCAGCTGCTGTTCATAGCCAGGGACCGGATAGCGTGTTCTCAGTTTTCCGCTTCCGTTCCCCAGTCTGACCTAGGACCCGTTGACTATGCAGTTCTTCTGTGGGACGGAGGGACTTCATCTGTGTGAACGTGAAATTCTCAGAGCCAAAACGCCGGAAGAAGGAGTTAGCTCTGGCACCCTCGAATTTTGCAGAACTTCAAGCCTCTACATACTCTGGGTATTTTGAAGTACGTACAGATCGGCCCTGGAAAGATCAACCACCTTCCACCTCTGAGGCTACATACTTTACGACTTCCAATTTTTGTCACAATTGATGAAATTCTACCACGTCCATTCCAGCCTCAGGCCTTCTCGATGTCCGCGGGTGCAACGACACACGATATCTCACATTCTTGAAGATCTGCAGTGGTACGATGGCTTCCCTGACTGGTCAGTGTCTCAACAGTGGATCCCCTCTCATGCTAACTGTCCACCTTTTCATAGTCCATCTTTGGCTAACAGGTAACAAACTTCCCCTTAACAGTGATAAAATCTTCTAGATTTTGTTTGGTAATAAATCCTCAGATCAAATTAGTCTAAGAAATAACAATATCCAAATTAGTAACAAAGTAGATGGTAAATTCCTTAGGGTTTTGATTGATAACAAGCTGAATCTCCAGGGTCACATATCTATAAACGTTTCTAAAACAGTTGGCATTCTTTTTAAGATCAGATATTATGTACCTCGCCCTGCCCTCTATTACTCTCTCATCTATTCTTCTTTCAATAATAGTATCTGTGCTTGGGGTTCTACTACCCAAAATCATCTATGTCCTCTAATTACCCAACGCAAATCTGCTCTTAGAACAATAACAAACTCTGGCCCCAGATAGCACTTGGCCCCCTTACTTACATCTTTGAATATATTAGATATTAAATCTCTGAAAATCCTCTCATGTGTACTCTATTTATATATAAAACTCTGAACTATAATGCCAATCCTGACCTAAAGGGCTTCCAAGAAGGTTGTAACAGAACACATGGGCACAACACTAGAAACACATAACTATTTTATATTCCAAGAGTGCGACTTAACCAAACTAGAAATGCTCTGCAAATCAAGGGGCCAAGAATGTGGAATGAACTTCCCAATCATGTCAAAGGCTGTACCTCTCTCAACCAGTTTAAGAGATAATAAGAGATAATGAGAGATAATAAAAATAAAAATTATTATTATTATTATTATTATCATCATGCACGGATTTCCGGGAATGCGTTGGTGGTACGTCAGCGCCGCTCGTGTGCCAGGTAAGTCCACTATGGGCTCACCATAACCGTGCTTTAGTATTTGAATCTAAAACAACAACATACAATACTACCAATTACTAGCTCACTATAGCTCGTGCTACATGAAAATTTTGTTCCAGTAGATGAATCTAAAACAACAACATACAATACTACCAATTACTAGCTCACTATAGCTCGTGCTACATGAAAATTTTGTTCCAGTAGATGAATCTAAAACAAAAACAACAAGTCTCAAAAGATTTATGCTTTTTGTATAAAAACCAGAGTTTCCCTTCAAAAGGAAGGGAAAGTGCTTTCCCTCAAAAAAGCCTTTGAGCTGGCTAGCGCCCCAACTATTCTCTGCTGCCTTATCAACAAAGAGGCCAAAGGCAACCTGCTCTCCTGGACCAAACATTGTCTCATAAACAGAGAAGCAAGAGTGAAACTTCATGGTACAGTCTGAATACAAAAGACACGAAAACGGTACACCGTAAAGAGGTATTCTCAGCCCCCTACTCTTCAAATGTTCATTGGAAAGAATAATGAGGCATAGGCTGGAGAGGCAGAGGCTATGAGGAGAGGCTGAAACTCCCACAACACTGCAGGCTGCTAAACTATGCGGACAACTTTGTCATCTTCATAAAAGGAAGGAATGCAGCGCGCCGTGCTCCCAAATGCGTAGAATGTATCAGTGAAGTGGCAAAGCAGATTGGTATCAAACTCATCCCCACCAAGACAAAAGCCATGGCCATAAAAATTGTGAAGCCCAACAACCAACTCAAAGTACAGGGTTCACCTATTGAGTGGGTGGACACTTATCAGTATCTAGGAATAATCCTGGACACACAGATAAATTTTAATGCTGAGGTCACTTACTTGAGAGAGAACTACGGTCAGGACGGCAGTCCTCAGGTCGCTAAACTTCCTCTCTGGAGGAGCCAATCTGCAAGTCCTTCGCACATATTATGTACAGGCAGTCAGATCAGTGATCAACTATGCCGCACCTGCACTCACAAGCCTATCACAACAACAGTGGAAAAAGTTTGAAGTAGCACAAAACAATGCTATGAGAGTCCTTACCTGGATCAGGCGTGACATTCTAAGACTGGAATCGGGTTTGCCCTCTCTCCAAGAAAGAATATCTCAAAGAACAGCTACGTTTATCAGTAAGAAAATTATTTCCCCTGATCCAGTCCCAGTACAAGCCTTGGTGGCTAGACTTGGCCAAAACAATGGCAACTCTTGGGCTGCCAGAGCGGGAAAAGTCTTAAACAGACTACAGTTAAAATACATAATTCTTGATAGAGGAGGTGATCATCCACACTTGTTCCTCACCGTGGGAGAAGCCTACCTTCAAAATCGTAATAGAAGGTCTTCCGATGAAGGACGCTGCCTATGATTCAACAATCCTAAGGTGCATCATAGAAAAACAAATGAGCAGCATTGCAGCTCATTGGTTACTTGTGTGTTATTGGTGGTGTTTCCATGTTTTTTTATGTATTATATTTTGTTGTATTTGACATATTTGTACTATACGTATTGTTCTGTGTGGTTTTACTTTCTTAGACATTGTTCTTTATCAGTAACAATAAAAAAATCACTTCTTATGTCACATACGTAATTATGCCTGTATTTAGTACTGCTTTTTGTGCTACTGCGTCGAGGTGTTTCTCTGTTCACTTCCAGTGCTTCTTGTGTATGGTTTTGTATTGTGTGTATTTCCAGTACTTTTGACATTATATGTGTCTTATTGTATCAGTGACGTATTTCGTATTTCAATTTTTTTCTTGGCTAGGGTGTGTTGTGTAGGACCTGTGTGTTGTGTAGGACCTGTGTATTGTGTAGGACCTGCGTGTTGTGTAGGACCTGTGTGTTGTGTAGGGCCTGTGTGTTGTGTAGGACCTGTGTGTTGTGTAGGACCTGAGTGTTGTGTAGGGCCTGTGTGTTGTGTAGGACCTGAGTGTTGTGTAGGACCTGTGTATTGTGTAGGACCTGTGTATTGTGTAGGACCTGTGTGTTGTGTAGGGCCTGTGTGTTGTGTAGGACCTGTGTGTTGTGTAGGACCTGTGTGTTGTGTAGGACCTGTGTGTTGTGTAGGGCCTGTGTGTTGTGTAGGACCTGTGTGTTGTGTAGGACCTGTGTGTTGTGTAGGACCTGAGTGTTGTGTAGGGCCTGTGTGTTGTGTAGGACCTGAGTGTTGTGTAGGACCTGTGTATTGTGTAGGACCTGTGTATTGTGTAGGACCTGTGTGTTGTGTAGGACCTGTGTGTTGTGTAGGACCTGTGTGTTGTGTAGGGCCTGTGTGTTGTGTAGGACCTGTGTGTTGTGTAGGACCTGCGTGTTGTGTAGGACCTGTGTTGTGTAGGACCTGTGTGTTGTGTAGGACCTGTGTGTTGTGTAGGACCTGTGTGTTGTGTAGGACCTGTGTGTTGTGTAGGACCTGTGTGTTTTGTGTAGGACCTGTGTGTTGTGTAGGACCTGTGTTGTGTAGGACCTGTGTATTG